GCTTTAAATGTCCTGAAGCGGGTTCTGATTTTTAGTCTGTGATGTCATAAATAGACTGGATATTAATCAACGGACCAATATAAAGAGCATCGGTTGACTTTCCATGTCATACCTGTTTTCTCACCGCGCTCTTGTGATTTCCACGCTCTTGATCGTGCCTACGTGACTTTTGGGAAGACACACAAACGAGCATACAAACGGACACACAAAGCGTTTTATATACAGGGAGACCCGCATGAAGTGTGACGGGCAATAAAAAAATCAACTTATGGGCTTCTGGGCTGGAAGAAGCGGTGATTGCTTGGGCGGAAAGGAATGCGATGAACGTCAGCTAAACTTTCCGCAGGACTGTGCACCAGCCCACAGCGCAAAGAAGATGCTACAATGTTGTGAAACCACGCTCCCAGATTTTTGTGGCGAAGCAGTTTTGACTTTCAAATCCCCCGATCTCAATCCTTTGGATTCTGGTGTACGGTCGATTCTGGAGCAAAAGGCCTGCGCTTTCAAACACAGGTCTTAAGAACCTCTGAAAGAAAGTGCTCTTGTAGGAGCGTGGGATGAAAGTGATTGCGCGCATTCTTGAAAACATCCGAATGAGGTTGGATGTTTACATTAAAGCGAAAGATAGTCATTCTGCATGCGAGATGTGATGTGTGTTTACGATTTTGCGATGATTGTGGGGTAGATCGACAAGCTCTGATTTGAGGGCTATTCGCTAGTGTACTTCTCAAGCGCTCAAGTATAGATATTTGATTCAGTAAGCACACACAGGATAGTAAACGGGCACGTAAAGGCGCTACATACATGCATGGGTGCGCTAGCGGTAACAAAACATCCGTGTGGTGAGGAAAGAAATTTAACGCAGGAAGTTTTCATACCGTCTTGGTATGCAATAGGGTATTCATTAGTGGATGGGGATGCATTAGGTTCTTCTTTACGTAGCCCGTTTCCCTTTGTCAAAGAACAAACTTTTTGTACAAAAACCCAATTCCACCAACATTTTTCTACCTGGCGGCAGAGGGGTGCATGCAGGAAGGATGCTCAAAACAGCGCACATCACTTTTTCTTCGTGTTTAGGGTTCCGTAGGAATCTTGAACCCGACTGAAGAGCTCAAAGAGATAGTGCATACACCTCGAGACTAACGCTTGTTACCTTTACGTGGAACGGCTATGGCGACATTTGGAAATTCTTACAGAATGGCCTATTGCTGCATTGCTTAATCTGACCTGCTTCTTCTTCGAAGAGATGCACAATCAAGTGAAATAAGCCTAACAAAAACATTATATCATTGACCTGTCTACTCAGTTTTGTTAATCCAACTGATTAAGAGCCTATTCCGTTCCTTTGCATCTCAAGCACAACCCAAATTGCTTCCCTTCTGTAACTGTCACCCTTCGCCCGAAAAGATCTGCCGCTAAGTTGGATAAATCATGATCGAGATGTTCAGGAAATATTAGTAGCGAATTGGCATCATTACGGCAAAACATAAAGTTTGGGTCTTGCACACTTTTCCAAAGCATACGTTTAGTTGAACGCTCGATCACTTCAAAGCTTGCCTTTGCGACGATAGTGGTTTTTTCTTGAAATATTAGTGCTTTAAGTAAGTAAGTTTAAGTACCACTGCTTTATCTGGTTGGTTGCTTAGCCCTTAACTAAGCACTAATTAGAAAGGGAAAAACACAGGGTGCGCCATAAATATGGTAACAGAAGAATTGGGCTACAAAAACCCCAGTTCATATTGACACATGGTGGAATTATGTGAGTTATTTACTATGCATCACATCTACAAAATAAACACACGATAATCTTATATAACCGTCTCCTGTACTAATTATAGTTCGAAGACGCTGCGGCTACTCATCGACGGTGGCGCGCGGGGTTTCTTAAGAAACTCCAGCCTGGAGTTTTCTCAATGGTTTCTTATGTGAAGCAACAGTGGTGCATTATGAAGTGCAGGCTTTCCTCTCCAGGATATATTCATTAGGGTAAAGGAAGAAACAGTGTTTGAGAAAGAATAGAAGGGAAAACAGGTAGAGGGTTTAACCTATCAATGATGAATTATATCTAGCAACCCATCACACTGTAGTCCGGGAAATCCGTATGAGGATTGGAAGCTGGGATGAAATCGCGAACACTCCGTCAGCAGCAGTCTTACCTTTTCTCATTGGTGAGCAGGTGCGCCGTAGTTTTCAAATCGTATCCCTGAAAAAATAACTGACCTTCAGCTGTATCCTTTTAGAAGGACCCTTCTTAGAGAGTTTTGGATTAAATTTTATACTTTTTTCGATCAAAATTCGCGAAACGCTCGGATGGTCGAGTTTCTAGCAAAAGCTACCATCAAAGAGGGAAAATGGCTATGAGAGGCGATGTGACTCTTCTCAATGGCTTCAGCACTCGGAATGTGATATACATGTATTCTTTGGGGTCTCAGCATTTCTTCCACGCTGAACAACTTTTAGTCAAGAAAAGGTTTGTCGAAGCGCGCAAGTAGCGCGCGGCATTTTTTTTTCTCCAACTTCTTCTCGTCAGGAAGCTTATAGAGCTTTCGAATCTTACCTGGATACAATTGTATTTACTTAGGAGTAGACTCTTCTCATCGGAGTAGAACATACAAACAAATCAACAGTCATTTTTCTGGTATTTCGGCAGGTTTTGCAGCGTACTCCTTCCCAGTTAATTCTATTGAGGCAAAAGGGGGTTGTATGTGAGGCAAGACGACCGTCTCAAGGTCTGCCCCGCATCGCGATTCAAGTGACTGTCAGTGTGGAAAATGTCGAAACGAGGAGCGATTCGGGAAAGGGACTCACAAAATGTGCGCAAAGACGGAGTGGCTGGTGGATGTGAGTGAGGCTCCACCGTTTTTCGAAATCTGACGAATTGAGTGCACCAAAGTAGATATGTAGTCTGAGGTATATCACGAACATAAGGGGAGGTGCAGGTTTGGAGATACCATCCAAACAAGAAAATTTCGGACGTTCGAAAAGTTGTTAAAATAGTGATGGCGCGCCCTGTACAAGCTAGGACAACAAACTATCAAAAACTTATTAGTGGTTCGTTTTGCCTCTTACACTCATTCGAACCACTTCGTTTTTTTGATAACCCCCGAGGCTCATCGGTGAATGGGGGTTGGCAAAAAACGTATGTTAGCGTCAACTTATAGTAAACAATGAAAATAGAAACCACAAATGCCATGAGTAAGCAAATGAACAAAAGAAGTAGAGAAAAGCCGAGTAGAAAGAAAATAAACTTACAAAAAAAACTAACTGCGTGAAAAAACTTGCATTCAATACTCAGTTGAACCTTAGTCACATATTAGAATTAGAGCACGTTAGCTTCTAATGTTGGCAAAACTTATGTCAAATTGGGAGGAGTAATTAACTCATTGACGACCGGGTGGCCCGCTGGCGGGCCACACCATATCGTGCCCCTGTAGTATTTATATTATTTATCAAGTGTTCTTATAATTTTTTTCATACTATCAAGTATCAGCTCAGCTCACAATCTCCTAAAAAATCTTGAGGCATCGTGGTTCAGGAATCATTCACTTCCAACTACAGTTATGAGAGAAACTAAAAGTTAGTGTAAGGGCAATGTAAAAGGCGCGGTCGCCAATGGGTTAATGATTACGAGAAATCGTTTCGAGGAATTTTTACGAGCTTTGTATTTGGAAATGCTAATGACGACCGTCTTTTCAAAATATCTCATTTTTTGAAGTTGTTCAACGGATGAAAAATTCACCAAAGTAATGTGCTCCTTCGAAAAAAGCACCTTTACAATTGCAAAAACAGAAGATTTTCTAGGACCACGATGTATGTAGTTTCATTTAGGCCTGATATAATGTACTGAGAAGAAAAACTGAAAAAAAATAGAAATTTAGATGAATAAAACAAAATATACAACTGCAGTCCACATGTGGACTGCACGGTTGTCAATGGGTTAAACAAACATACAGTCGCGGTCAAAAGTTTAGAAACTTTTTATTTTTAAACATAGCGCGGGCACTGAATTACGTAACTGTCTTATTTTGCATAGTGGGTGTCAAAGCAAATAAACAACAGGATAGACAACGTGTTCTTTCGGGACCAGATGATTAGAGTTAAAAAACACGATTTAATGTGAAAAGGGCTCGTCAAAAGTTTGAAAAGTTCACAATCGATTGCAGAGGGAAATTGATCATGGTGACATGGATTTACAAACAAAATATCAATACTTCGTTGGATGCCCAAGGGAATCGATTACTGCTTTGCATCTTCTTGGCATTGGATCGATTAAGGCTTCAATTCGGACTGTGGTATCAGAGCCCACTCTCTAGACAATAGATTGAATTTTTCGTCGGCATTCCCAACAGGAACCTGGCTTGTACGACGTGCTAGCTCTTCCCAAGGGTGCTCTATAAGATTCAGGTCTGGTCGCTTATTCACAAGACGTCTTATATACATTATGCCATCACCCCCAAAAAGCGAGGTGCTTGCGCGCAAAGTCAAGTCGAGCCTTCCGGTTCTTTGACGTTGACGTTTCCATACTTTTGACGCGCTGCTCTTCGAACTTTTCTTATTTTAGGAGTCAGGCTTTTGATTTTCGTAAAACCACATTGCATGCCATATTTCCTACATGATTTTATATCTAATATGTAACTTTGGGATAATTGCGATCCCAACTGGCCGCGCCATTCGAGAAATCAGAAAGTTTCCAAACTTTTAGCCACTAATGTATCTTTGATAAAAATTAGTAGAATGACCAACCGAAAATTGTTAATGAAGCCAGACCATAATGCCTTCGCAACTAACCCCGATTGCATTCAAAACGCTCTTCACTGTAATTTTCATGACAGAGCTTTGCAATGAGGCACCCCTCCTGCTCTGACAATCGAAAAGCTCTCAAGGTACTTCTTTTGGCCCTTACTCTCCATTGCTTACACTAAGTAAGATTATCCATTTTTTTGTGATAGGATGCTCCTTCACCTTTCCTTCTGCATTATGTATTGTGTTACGATTTCAGGTATCTTGAACGAGCTGATCGTAATGCAACTCCTCAACAGGCATACAAGTGGCTGACGAAACATTTCGAACAGTACTGTAAAGGAGCTACATCTCTTCCTCCACAGGAACAAAAACACTGTCTCGAGAAATTCGTTGCTTCAGAATGCTTTAAGCTGCAACTAGATCAAGTTCGAGCCCAGTCTTTGGAACGGTTGGTTATAAACTCGTTTTGGTCGACTACAACAAATATTGGTTGAGTGAATTCCTCTCAACATTGTGAAGATAAGTAATTCTTCCCCTGCGACTGCACCCTTGTAACCAAGTACCTATATTGTTTTGGAAGTACGGAGGTCAACGTGAATTGCTTGAAATACTAACAGTGCAAATGTCTCAGTGTTGTTGTAGTTTGGCCTACGATATTCTGTGTAGTTTTGTGTGTGTAGTGAGTGATGTGTGGGTGTGTGATGTCTGTATGTTATCATATGTAGTGCGTGTGTTCCACGATTAAATTCAAATCTTATAGCTGTATGTTTCAAAGGTACGCTTAACCATTATCGTGAGAGTAATAAGCCTGGGCCCGTTGCTGTTATCTAGCGTCTAATCCCTTTCCCTGGTTTACTACTGTCGTATCACTGTTTCTATGGAGATGGAAGCTCTCTTAAGCTGTCTGATCCCGCGGGTAAGCTAGTTGTTACTTCTTCTCTAGTTAAATCAAAGAAACTAGTGTAACTTCAGGGACAAAGCTTGCACTCTCATCACGGGCGTTTTATAAGTTTGTTGCACATGTTAATCAAGCGCGAAAATCTGCTTAATGGTTGGCTCGACAATCAGGTCTCGCATAACTACGTCAGCTATCTACAAAGCAGACTTTTCAGACTAAACGGGTAGTAAACACCTGGAAGAGCCTTATCTATACTTTCAAAAGAAGCGGTTTACCTATTTTCTAGAGGCGGGGAAACAGTTATTGACACAACTTTCCTGTTCACTACTTCAAACTATGCTGGCTGTGCGGGCGGTAGTAAGAAGTGTGACAAATAGCCCTTTTATCAGACTGATGCAGAATCGGAAGATTCGAGTATCTGGAATTTTGTTTACATTTGCAGCTGCCGTCCATTAGGCATCTCTAGATTTTAAATTTCTTTGAAGTGCCGATACGAAGGTGTAAATGTGCCATTGGGTGATTTGTTATTATCTCTGTCGTGAACTTCGAGAAAACTACGTCACTAATTTATGCATGGCTCTACGGCTGAAACATTGCTTCCAGCTTAAGCGTTGCATTTGCAGAGGGATTCTGCAGACGTGCGGACGTCAGTTGTTTGCCCGCTTTGTAGATGGAAACTGGATTTTCACAATGTCACTTCAGCCGTGCTGCCATGTCTACTCCATGGTCGCCGCCTTAGCAGTCTTCATTGAGAACTGGTGGCTCTAACTCGGAAACTTGCTGAATTCTTCAAGTGCGACCATACTCTTGTTTGGTGAATTTGTCATCAACTCCAGCCTTATGGTTAGCCGCATGCTTTACTGGGGTTGGCCGATCTCTGTCCTTCATATATACTCTGGAAAGTTCATGCTGAACCTCGTGGCGAGGTACCCGAGTTGCATCTTTCAACAGGGGGACGTGCACTACGTGCGTCCGAAGATGCGCGCGGCAACTTGCGCGGCGAAGTTCGTGATGATTGGTACGACTCTGACGCCAATTTTCGAGGCACAAACTCGAAGTAGAGTAGTTTAGTAGAGTCAGATGATCCTTCTAATCTACTCAACTCCAAATTTGGACCCCATTGATAGGCGCCAAAGTCGTTCAAATCGTTACGAACTCCGCCGCGCAATTTGCCGCGCGCGTCCTAGGACGCACGTTCGTCCACATACCCCTTTTAACATTGTGCGGGTGCATGTCGTTTGGCGCCGGCCTTCGCCCTGGCGCCGCTTTCACAATTTCTGGTCGGGCAACTCGTCTAAATCAGGGGTAATTAGATTTCCCAATCATCTCCATTACGAGAGTACGAAGTGAGAAAATAATAAAGACACTCAGGACGTATCAGTTCTATCCACCACTTTATGCAATTTATATCAGTTATATTCACATTTTCATGAATATTTCAAACTCATTCACATTCGTAGCTAGCTATCAGCACGGTCCATCTTTTTTTTCTTACTCTTGGCAATCTCACACGTCCATCTTTGTACGAAAATACAGAGAATCAGGAAACCAAGCGTATAAAAAAGCTTGAAAATCTCAAAAAACCTCCCCAATTCTGGTTGAAAATTGCCCAGTCTTGAGTGTTATAAGTTATCTCTGCATTTTACGATTTCGGATTATTGGGCATCTGCTTCTTGCTAATATTAGGTTGGAAGGAAAGTCCTGCAACAAAATGAAGGTCTTTTTCAAATCGTTTCTGAAATTTTCCAGGCCAATCAGTTTTCGGAAATATATTTGCCAAAGAGGTCAACAACCTTCTATTATCCTTTACGTAAATCACTGACGCCTTTTATCCAGGAGTGAGGAAGCTGTGACTCAAAGAAGCAGTTGACTGCCGTTTTCAGATCACATTAAGTTACGGTTTTTTTCCACAACGGCATGCTCAAGAAGGCGGAGCGCATGGTAGGTGAAAGTGGCAACACTTAGGGAGTACGACTGATGAACAGCCTGGAACCAATTCGAATTGTTGAACTTTTGACGCGTGCTTAAAGCGAAATTTCGACGTGTGTTGTCTCTCTGTAGGGACCTGATTTACGGTTTTGATCGTCTTTCTCTAACCCTGTTGGCCAAATTTCGGGGTTCATAGGGGTAACCGATAGCTGTGTCCATCTAGTGTGCGTTTAGCAACTCATAGTGAATGGATCCCTCCAACCTCCAATGAATCAAGGGACGATGCTTGCGTGACTTCGAAGGCTAGTTTCTCCTCCAGTGAAGCGATCCAGCCGATTGTTGACCCTTGATCGGTGAGCAGTGCCAGGATTAAATAGGTTGCTGATAAGTTGAGCCGCTACACCCCCGTTTTTCCCTTGGAGTGCTTAGTAGAAGGTGATGGGACGAACTGGATGTTGTCCATTCATTGACCGTAAAGCTGCTAAAGCCCACACGCGTGCCTTTATTTACTCATGTGTTGATGACCTGAGGAATGTTCTACAAGTTTATCACTCTTGCTACCGTGTTCACACTGTTGATACAAATTGCTGACGTTTCATATTTTTTGTTGCAGGACTTTCCTTCCAACCTAATATCCCCTTGCTGTACGTCTTATGCTCCCTTTCGCTACATTTCTACTCAGCAATTCTTGTTATCCCCATATTGTTGTGAAGCCATCACTCTCTGTCTACATACAGTGCCTTTCATAATTATAAGGTCACCCTCAAAATTTGCACTTTCAGAAAAAGCAATCATTAAGGATTTTTTCTAGCATCATGAACGGATTCCCCAGCACGAATAACCTAGGTTTCCGTTTTTTAGCCGCAGCTGCATTTTTCTTAACTTTCTCAGAACAGTTTATCGGTTTTTGCACCGTTTCATAATTATAAGGTCACCCTGAGAAAGTGAACAATTATTCATGGAAGAGAGGAAATTTCGTGAAGGTACTTATGAAGGTAAGCATGTGTAGCAAATGCATTTCTAAACCTGGCTGTCAACATGGCTCGTGGTCATCTGCTTTCCTCTGATGAGAAGGCTCATCATGAAGGTGGGCTCAGTACTCGAGCAATCTCCAGGCGAATAGGGAGAGCCTCTTGGTCCATTCAAAGATTTCTGGAGAGCCCTGATGTCCCTAGATATAACACCGACTGTGGACACCCATGAAAGATTACTGCCCGTGACGAGCGGAAGATTCTGAGGACTGTTTCCGACAGTACTTCCTTCTAAAACTAGATCCGATCGGAATTAAACCTCTCTGTGTCGAAAACTACAGTCTGGAGTGCAGTGAGAAGATGCGAGAACATCACCAGGCAAGCGAAGGAGAAGGTGCCACTAATCACCGATCTCCACAGAG